AGAAAATCTTTTAGATAAACAATTAATAAACACCGAGACCGAAAGAAGAACTGAAGCCTCTTCTGTTCCTTTGATACGCGGCTGCCCCAAGGCCACCCCGGGCCTTTCCAGGCCCTTCAAACAGCCGAAAACCGGACACTGACCCAAACTGGCTCTTCCTCCCCTCAGAGGAGGCTGTGGGGGTGTGAGGGGTGAGGGGAGGCTCCTCACTGGGCACTGCTCACCAAACAACACAAACCTGCACTCTGAGCTCTCAGCTCTCTATCTGTGCTATGCTAGAACTGGAATTGATTTCTTTTACTGGATCTAATGTTATTTAAATAGTGGTACAGCCAATTTTTATCATTCCCTGGTTTTGTCCTGCCCTGAATGAGACAGGTAATGAATATTTTACCAGAACCAGGTTCATGTTTTGATGGTTTTCCCTTCCCTTTCCTTCTCCTGCCTTGCAGCTCGGACACCTCACTCTGGAGGACTACCAGATATGGAGTGTGAAGAGTGCTCTTGCCAATGAATTTTTAAATCTGCTTTTTCAGGTGTGTTTAGGGGAAATCTAAGGTTGTAATTTACAGTAATTAACTGCTGAGCTTTCTGCATGGCCACGAAGTGCAGCATCAGCATTTGTGTGCACAGGAGGGGATGTGGCTCTGCAGCTCTGGGCTGCCTTGGCAGAGGATTCTCTCTCTGATTCTCTCTTTGGTTGTTCTTGCAGTGCATGCAATGCCCAAAGCCTCATCTGTTCAACAGAACCTGGTGCACTGCTCACAAAATGAAATTTCGAGTGCATCAGCAATTATGTTTTCCATTAGAGAAAGGCTGTCTTTGAAATGATTTTTGTGGCAAATCTTTGCCAAGAAAGTAACCCAGGGAATGAGAAAAAAGATCTCTAATGCTTTCCTTTTTCATTTTACAACCAGTTTCCCTTTCCATTTTCTCTTAAGGCCCTCTAAGGTGCCTCTCATTGCTTCCTTAATGAAGCAGGCCTGGAAAGCTGGGATATCCTATCACTGCTCACTTGCAGAAGCTGAGGATTAAGTGTGTGCTGAATTGGGTTTTAATTGAGCTTGAATTGGATTTCTCTAAATCCTTGAAAGCCATATTTTAGCTCTGGCTCACTTTGTGCAGAAAATAACCCTAAAGAATATTTTCATCCACTGCAGTTTGTTCCTTACCTGTTTTCCTTTGAGGTTGATTCTTGGAATTTAAATAATAATAATCCTAATTGGCCTGTGACTACTTTATAAATTGCATTTTGAATGATACTTTCTCGAGAGCTTCAGGGTGACGGAGTGAGGGTATCCTGAGGCCACCAGCTACACCACAGCTGGAAAGAATAACACCAGAAAGTTCTTCAAATTCATTTTTTCTCTAATTACATCAAGTTTGCTGAAGTTGCAACCTTCTCCAGAAGGGCTGTCTTTATTTTTGGCCTGTCTGGCATCAAACATCCCCTCATAACTAAATATTGATGAACTAACAAATATCCCTGCAATCTTGACAAAGAATGAATGAAGATGTAATAAATCTGTCCTGATGCTGATTACACATCACCAATGTTGCACATTGCTCATTGCAAGTCTCATTTACAATGTTTTTTTTCCCTCTTGGCATAGTTGCTGTGTTTTCATTTTAGATTTTAATTTCTTTTTTTTTTTTTGATAACTTTATCACGTCAAGCACAGGGCAGAGTCTGCCATTGATTTATCTGGGCATTTATTTGAGGTGTCATGTGCCTCATCTGCAGAGAGAAAAGCCAAATATTCTGAGTGGAAAGCTTGTCAACAAATGGGGTTGTTTGCAGAGGGCTTGGTTTATCTGAGGAATCTCATTTTAGCTACACAAATTTAAAAAGAAACACCAGGCCCAGCTGTGTTGTGTGTGCTGGAAAATCTGTTGCTCCCCCCTGGCTGATGGCCTTTGTTTCATCCAGAATGTGAAATGGTCGCTCTCACTGTAATATAAATTTAAATAAGACATCTTAGCAGTGATTAGAAATCTCCAGCTGAGATACAAATTGATGGCCTCAAAAGGGACATGAGGAGAAGGCTGTAAATCATGGGGGAACAGCAAAACCATCTGGGAGCTGCCCCTGCTCCCTGGCAGCCTCCTGAGGAGCCCTTCCCTCCTCTCCCCCTGGCTGAAATAGGAGCCATCTGACACTGGTTTGTACTGGGAATGAAACCCCACCTGCTGCCCAGGAGATGGGGCCTTTCCTTCGAGTCCAGTTCAAAAGTGAATTAAAATAGAGAGAGAAAATGAGCCCCAGACGTCCCGAGCATGGCCTGCACTTTGCAGAGCTTCTGGCTGGGTTTGGCTTGGTTGCTCTGCTCTGAAGTTCTCCCTCAGCCTCTCCAGTGCTTGTTTGCCTTTCAATCCCATCTAGAACCACTGATTCCCACTTTCTTCCTTTTCAATTCCTTTTTAACTTTTAGTTCATTCTCTTCCAACCCTTTGCACTGTCCAGTTCCTCATTCCCCATCCCCAGCACACCCAGATTTGTGTGTCTGATACTCTGCAGCCCTGGGATCTGGCACAGCCTGAAATGATGAGAACTTTTGCTTTTCTCTTCACCTCAGCATTGCTCTTAGGGCATTTCACATTCTTGGTGCCTTTCTCTTAACAGTGGGAACAAGGTGGGCAGCTCACCGCTCAAAAGACTTTTTTACCAGTGATTTATTCAATTTTAAGTAAAATTAAATCTTGCTCCATTATAAAATGATGAAAAAGTCTCATCTGAGTTGTTTATTTGCTTTTATTTCCCTGTTAATAAGAATTTCACTTTTTCCAGGTGTGTCACATTGTTCTGGGCCTGCGACCTGCCACCCCAGAGGAGGAAGGACAGATTATTAGGTGTGTGCTTTGCTCAGAGACTTAAATGCCTTTCAGATCCACCTTTGAGTACTTTCAAAAGATCTGGAAATTCCCTGTTTGTGCTAAAAATTCCCATTCTCTCTGTGCAGAGGCTGGTTGGAAAGAGAGAGCAGGTATGGCCTCCAGCCAGGGCACAACTGGTTTCTCATTGCCATGCCCTGGTGGCACCAGTGGAAAGAATATGTCAAATATGTAAGTAAAATAATAATAATAATAATAATAATAATAATAATAATAATAATAATAATAATAATAATAATAATAATAATAATAATAATAATCTGTACTGAAGAAGTGATTTCTTGTCTTTCTGAATGTGTTGATGGAAAAAACAGTGTGGAGGAAATGTCTGCTGAAGCAATAATGCTCAGAACTGAGCATCTCCTGTCTCTTGGTGGAAAATAATTGTTCTGCTGAATCACTGTTATGTGGGGAGCTTTGCACTGTAATTTCATTAAATCCTCATCTCTTTCATCATTCCTGCATCTTGAGATTTTTTTTGAATAAAAACCATGCTCACAGGAGCATTTATTTCACATTTTCTGATCCATTTGATAATGAAGCTGCCCACTTTGGGTTTGACTTGGCTTGGGCCACAAATCCACTCTGAATTTTCTGGACAAAGGAGGAAATTGCTATAATTAGCTTAAGAGGCAATGACAAAAAATAGGCTAATACCCAATGAAAGGAGTCCTACTAAAACTTTTTAGATACAGGGTGCTCTTTAATAACCTTTAATTAAAATATTTAAGCTAAAGCACCACTGAATTGTACAAAATAGAGAATATTTAATAAAATGTAATTGGAGATAAATATTATTTGCAGGCTAAACAAGTGAAATAAACCTCTCAAAAGAGTTTTTATGCCCTCATAAGTAATCACAGAAGCACTTGATTTGTTTTATAAAAACAAATAGCTGTAAGTACTCAGAAAACTGCAATGTGTGCATTAACTACCCTTGTAAAGGCTGTTATACTTTGTGCACAATGAATTGGCCAAGTGAGGGCTGGGATGCCAGAAATGCCAGGTATTTGATCCTTAGCCTGGTGTGAGTGCTCAGATGTGCTCAGGATTTTCTCCCTAATCCTTTGCATAATGGCAAAGGCCATTACTCACTGCACTTCTCAAAACCCACCAGAATTTCTGTGAAATGCTGCAGGTTTGAGGGGAAAAAAGTGGTTTTTGTTGTTGTGCTTGCTGTTCTCATGTAACCACATGAACTTCAAGTGTTCAAATAATTACAGTCTGTAATTACAGCTGTTTAAAACCAGGTATATCTTTATGTATCTATCTATTATTCCAAATAATTTTGGAATTTTGACTCTGTGCAGGATGGTTTGTTTGATTGTTTTAACAATTTTGGGAGTTGTTTTCTGCTGATTTTTTTTTATTTGTACATGTAGAAAACATTTTTCCATCAGCAAATCTTGTCATGTGCAGAAGCAGTCACAGAACTGTGAATTTTAGGCGGCTGCTTTGACTGACACATCTTTGATCTTGGCTCTTAATTAACTTTTGTGCTTTTTCCCACCTCTAGGATGCAAACCCAGTTGTGATAGAGCCTTCATCTGTCTTGAGTGGAGGTAAGAACCCCCTGGTAGCTGCTGCAGCCAATACCCCAGAGCAGGGAGAAGACAAAATGGGAGGTCTTAATGACTTCAGTGCTCCAGAAGAAAAGTTTTCAGATAATATTTCCACTGCCTCAGAAGCCTCAGAGTCCACCAGCAGCAGTAAGCATCTTATTTCCTTGGAGGTTTAATGTAGAACAGCTTTTGGGAAAACTGCACACTGCATGGACCCCTCCAGGAGAGACATAGCACAGCTTGCATTGCAGGGGGTTTAGGATTTTTTTAGCATTTTTTTAGGACTTTTAAGGATTTTTTAAGGATTTTTTCGTTTGTGGTGGCTAAACACAAAGTCTTGTTCAACAGCAGTTCATCTGTTATGCTGGGATTCAGTTCCAGAATTATTTTCAAGGTATTTTTTTGTCCTGTGGTTTATTTTCTGAGTGGATTTTTCCCCCCACTTTCACATTAATTTGTATAAAGCTGGTTGATCCTATACTCTGCAAAAAGGGAAGAGCAAAAAACCATGAGGAAAAGCACAGTTGTACTTTTACAGGGCATGTGATTTAAATGTGAATGAGTTTGTGCAGATCCTAAGAGCCATCTTTGTGAAAGAAGAGATTTTAGTCCTGATTTTCAAGGAGGTCTTGTGAGAATTGGAGATTTTTTTCTTGTAAGGTTGCATCTGACATTTTAAAATCATCACTTCAGTTGAAATTAGCTAAATTACTGTGATTTTTTGGGTATAGGGGTTGGGGAAAACAAAGGGTACAGAGACAACAGATCTTTCTTTTTATTTTTATTTTTATTGAAATTTCCATTTAGTTCTGCATGACCAAAGCAGCTTCTATAAGAATCATTTGCCTTTTCAAGGAAAAACAAACCAAGGCATTATTGGATTTATCTTCAGTTCTGTATGTGAGTTTTTTTAGGAGTTTGATATCCAAACATCCAGATAACAAAGTTCTCACCACATTTTCTCGTGCAAAAAGCTGTGTTTGTGTAATCATGATGTAAAATATATAAAATATAATATAAAATCATAAATCCCTTTCTGAGAGACAGCAGATTTATCCCTCTGGAGGTGGAAGAGCTGCATGTTTCACTGCAGGAGGAAGGGCAGCAAACTTGGTATTTTTTAAAACAAAGACACAAGAGCGTAACTCATTCCTTTGTTGTTTATGGGATCACAAGTGAATTATTTCTAATTATTTCTGTTTGTTCTCCTGCTCTGTGCTCAGATGCTCTGTACCCTGGCAGCCCAGGCTCTGAGGTGAGCTTTGCAAGGCAGCACAACACTTCAGACAATAACAACCAGTGTTTCCTGGGCTCCAATGGGAATGCTCTGCTGCAGCTGAACCCCCAGAAACCAGGAGCTATTGATAACCAGCCCCTGGTGACCCAGGAGCCAGTCAAGGTAAAGGCACCCAAGGCATGGCAATGGAGGAAAAGCACATTTTAGCTCTCTTTTATCACAGCTTTTTTATGTTGGGTTTTTTCAGCTTAATTCTGGATCAATGCTGCTCTGTCCCACAGCAAAACTGAGGTTTCTTACTCTCATTTAAGAGGGAAAAATTGTGTTCTGCTTCTACAGCTACTCTTGTTTTGTGAGAAAAGAAACATTCAAAACATTCTTACAATTGGGAAGGTATTTATGAAAAGGTAGCTTGCAGCATTAAATGTAAAATACTTGGATAATCAAACACTTCAGCATTTCCATGTAAATATGAATTTGCTGCTGCTGTATAACAAGACAGTAAAAGAAAGCTGCCAGTTTGTGCAGGGTGGGTGCAAACAGAACATGAAGCACAGCAGCAGCATCAGTGCTGGGCAGAGCTGGGACTGCTCTGTCCAGAGCTGTTGGAGCAAAAGACATGAATTTTATACTGCACAAGCTTTTAGAGAACCACTAAACAATGAGACTTGAACGTTAATTACTGTTACATTTAACCACCATCTCTCAGTGTGAAAAGCAGCTGCTAATTGTTACTTAGAAGCCTTTTAATAATTAAAGAGTGTTCAGTGTTCATGAACTAAAATCACTGTGGCCATGTACTCATTTCTTCCCTCGAGATGTGACAAAAACCCTTTTTTTTTAAAGGCTGCATCATTAACCATGGAGGGTGGAAGGTTGAAGAGATCCCCACAGCTGGTGGAAGGAAAGGATTATGTGATGGTGCCAGAGCCAGTGTGGAGAGCACTTTACCACTGGTATGGGGCAAACCTGTCCTTGCCCAGGCCGGTGAGTTGGGATTTTTGACACTTTTTAATTTAATTTGTCCAGAGGAAACCTCCTACAATCATCTCCCACTTCATCCAGTGTCTGGCAGAGCAAACTGGGGAAAAGCAGCCTCCAGGCTGGTCCTGGATGGAAAGTTGTGCTGTTTAGGAGGAGTTTTAGCTTGCAGCACAATCCCAATCCCAGGGCTCAGGCAGCAGGGTTTGCTGAAGCACACAAAACTAAACCTGAGCTCAGGTTAAAGGCTTGGCATCAAAACTCCCATCTTTAAGGCTGAGATACAGTTAAAAAGCCATAAAATGGAAAGTGGGGCACCTGCAGCTCTGAAAACCTGTTCTTCTCTCTGACAATTTCATTAACTGGGGGGAAAGCAACAATTGCTGCTTCAGGTTCAGCATCACAAACACAACGTGCAGGGTTTGGGGAAGAGTCAAAAGCAGCTGGCAATGGGTGAGGCCAGGACTCTCCTCTGCCAGAATGGCTGCTCAAGAACACCTGGGAGCTGGAGCTGCAGGAGTCTGCTCTCTTGGAAATGTTGGAAACTTTTTCTTCAATTTCTCTTGAGCGTATTTATTCCACAGACTGGTTGTTTTGTTCTGTGTCAGGTAGTCCCTTATAGGAGATGCACTTAAAAAATGGATATGAAGGGTTTTTGTGCTGGTAGCAATAGGTTTTTGGTGGTTGATGCCACAAACATTCAGTGTCACAGATGGGAGAGGATTATCTCTATATTTTTGACAATTTGGTCTGTTGGCTCTAGTGCCGACAATTATTTTAGAGGGAAAAATCACTGGCTTCTTGCCTCCTCCCACACATTCTCCATGGAAACAAACACCTTTCATGATCCAGAAAAGGCCACATCACTTTATACACAAAGCAATGTGCTTTTTTTCCCCTCAGAAAATGTCATCACCATTGTTTTTGTTGTAGCTGAAGTTGAATACTGTGGCACTTGAGTGTGGTACCTTCCTTCTCACAGCTTGAGCCGCTTTCTTCTGCTTCACGTGGTCACACAAAGACTGAACATTCCTTCCATTTCTGATTGTATATTTGGACAGATCTAAGTGGCAAAATCTTTGTAGAAATGGTGGCTGAAAAGCTGCAAAATCTGTTTTGGGGTAATTTCAGCTTTTCCTGTAAAGACAGCAAAATGTAACAAAAGGAGATTGCAGCCTGTTTGTACAATATGAAGGCTTGAAGTCAATCCTGTGATTCACAAAGTTCAAACCAAATGTGTTATCCTGCATTTGTCAGTTCTTTCAACAGCTGTGAAACTTTATGTGCAAGTATTATACACTGAGTGGAATTAATGAGGTTCATTGTGGATTCACATATATTGCAGGAGTTATAAGAATATTCTTTCCATGGTGTGGTGCAGAGAGTGATGCTGCACTAAATAAGGTGTTTGCTTTTGACAACCTGCAGCTAATAAGCTCCAAAAAGTGCTTAGGAATCAGGAAATTGTCATTCCTGGGGATATTTGCCTAAAACCCCACAAGAAGTTCGGATTTTTTGTCTCCTCATTAAAGAGTTTGGCTTTTTAATAATTTAACCACTTTTAATGAACGAATCACTGCTGTTCCTATCGCTATTCCCTCCACACTTGCAAGGTGAGTCTCTGCAATGTTCCTCCCATGTTCTGCAGGTGATCAAGAACAGCAAGACCAACGTGCCAGAGCTGGAGCTGTTCCCTCGGTACCTGCTGTTCCTGCGGCAGCAGCCGGCCACGCGCACCCAGCAGTCCAACGTCTGGGTCAATATGGGTATGATGAGCCTCAGAATGTTCCCTCAGCATTTGCCCAGAGGTAACTTAAGAATGCAGCAAGAACCACCATCCCCTGTGCAGTTTCTAGGCCAGCCCAGGCTGGGGGAGCTTCCTGTGCTGTGCTTGTGCTCCAGCTCGATCGCCCGGCGGCACCATCGGCGCTTGGGAGCTTCCAGGGCTGCCCTCGAGGGAAAAGGCTCCAGGGCTTTCCCTGCCCTCGAGGGAAAAGCTCCAGGGCTTTCCCTGCCCTCTCCTCAGTGGAAAAGGCTCCAGGGCTTTCCCTGCCCTCTCCTTGGGGAAAAGGCTCCAGGGCTTTCCCTGCCCTCGAGGGAAAAGCTCCAGGGCTTTCCCTGCCCTGCCTCAAGGGAAAAGGCTCCAGGGCTTTCCCTGTTCTCTCCTTGGGGAAAAGGCTCCAGGGCTTTCCCTGCCCTCTCCTCGAGGGAAAAGCTCCAGGGCTTTCCCTGCCCTCGAGGGAAAAGCTCCAGGGCTTTCCCTGCCCTCTTCTCAAGGGAAAAGGTTCCATGGAGTATTTGCAGGGAAATCTGTTGATTCCCATGTTTATGGATGAGTTGAAGGTGAGAAATGAGCACTGCAGAAGCTGAACTGATCAGGAGAGCC